AATGTAAAGGCAATCTTTTTTTTCATTTTTTTTTTTTATTTTGGATAGAATAGAGTGGGCAAGTATTAAATCACCCATCAGGTTGCCATTGCTGTCTTTTTTTTTGCTCGGGTTCTTCACCATTTCTATTTGTCCTTATGATCATTGTCACTGTAACAGAATGTGATGGATGATAAATCCAGCATTTCAGACTTGTTCTGGTGACATTTGACTAAAGCTGGCCATAGATGGTTCCTTTTTTTTTTTGATCAGCCAGCTTGCTGACTGATTTTTAACTGAATAAACCTGGAGTTCCATTTACTGCACAGAAGGTACATTATTCCCATTCATCTTTATCCTTTTCTTTTAAGGCATATTTTGTTGTTATTTTGAATATTTTAGACAACAGAAAAAAAGAGTCCAGATAACAACTTAAAATATGTATAGAGATAGGTCACATTTTTTTTTTTTTGCTTTTTCTTGGTATGTTTTATTTCTGAATGTTTAAAACATCAAGTAATACAATACACTAAAAATAAATAAAAACACAAACAACATTCTTGTCAACTGACTTAAAAAAACAAGCAATTTACACTGAGACTACTTATACAATAAGCATGATATTAGAAGGTCATGCAAGGACATGCTAACTAGGTGGAAACTGGTTTCATGTTAATGGGATGTTATTATTATTATACAGTATTTATATAGCTCCAAAAAGTTTGCTCAGCGCTGTACATTATAGTGGGGGACAGTACATGAGACAATACAGTAACAATACAATACACGAGGGGTTCGAGGGCCCTGCTCCTTGGAGCTTACAATCTAGGAGGGAGGGGATAGTGGTACAGGAAGAAATGGCTGTGAGGGATGGAGTGGTAGGAGGTGTGGAGGAGATCGGTAGTTAGGTGAGGGCGGGGTAGGCTTCCCTGAAGAGAGACGGGTTTTCAGGGTGCGCCTAAAGGTGAGGAGGGTAGGTGACAGTCTGATGGATTGGGGGAGTGAGTTCCAGAGGATGGGGGAAGACCTTGAGAAGTCCTGGAGTCGGACATGGGAGGAGGAGACCAGGGAGCTAGAAAGTAGGAGGTGAGGAGCGAAGAGTATGTGTTGGGTGGTATTTGGATATCAGGTCGGTGAGGTAGTTTGGGGCAGTATTATGAATAGCTTTGTATGTCAATGTTAGTAGTTTGAATCTTATGCGTTGGGCAATCGGAAGCAGTGGAGGGAACGACAGAGGGGGGTGGCGGATACGGAGCGTTTGGTAAGGTGGATGAGTCTGGCCGCAGAGTTCCGGATAGACTGAAGCAGGGATAGTCTGTGATGAGGTAAGCCGGTGAGGAGGGAGTTGCAATTGTTGAGTCGTGAGATAATAAGGGAGTGAATGAGTTGTTTAGTAGTGTCTAGGGTTAGGAACGAATGTATTTTGGAGATGTTGCGGAGGTGGAGCCTGCATGAATTTGCCAGCGATTGGTCATGGGGCTGGAAGGACAGATTGGAGTCTAGAGTGACACCTAGAACTTTGGCTTGCGTGGTGGAGCTGATGGTGGCGTTATTGGTCGTGATGGAGAGGTTGGGGGGCGCGGGCTGGGGGGGAAAACTAGGAGCTCGGTTTTTGAAAGGTTTAATTTGAGGAAGTGGAGTGACATCCAATCTGATATGTCGTTCAGAAGGCACGTTATTCGGGCAGAGACTGAAGGGGTGAGGCGAGGGGTAGAGAGGTAGATTTGTGTGTCATCGGCGTAGAGGTGGTAGTTGAAGCCGTTGGAGTGTGTCAGCTGGCCAAGGGAGGAGGTGTAGATGGAGAAGAGAAGGGGCCCGAGGACAGAGCCTTGGGGGACCCCAACAGAGAGGGGGAGGGGTAGCAGCATTATAGGTAACACTGAAGGAGCGCTGGGATAGATAGGAGGAGAGCCAGGAGAGAGCAGAGTGTCTGAGGCCAAGAGAGTATAGTTTTTTAAGGAGGAGGGGGTGGTCAACTGTGTCAAAGGCCGCGGAGAGGTCGAGAAGTAGGAGCACTGAGTAGTGGCCATTAGCTTTGACGGTTAGCAGGTCGTTGGTAAGTTTGAGTAGGGCGGTTTCGGTGGAGTGTAGGGGACGGAAGCCAAACTGTAGGGGATCAAGGAGGTTGTTGTCGCTGAGGTGGGAGCTTAGGCAGTTGTAGACTAAGCGCTCGAGGAGTTTGGATGTAAATGGCAGCAGGGAGAGGGGTCTAAGGTTGTTCAGGTCGGTGGGGTCCAGGGAGGGTTTTTTGAGTATGGGAGTGATGTTAATTATTCGTTTCCATTTGTTCAAATGTATTTTGCCAATATAGTGAAATTTCAGCATCATAAAAAGAGTCAGTTCTGCTTATTTCTAAATACTACTTGTGTGCATGTACTGTGTCAGATATATGAGCCTTATAATAATCTGTATAAAGTGCTGTCTATCCAGATTCACAACTGTTATTTGTATAGTTTATCCTGACAGATTCTTATTAGTTCTGTAGAAGTGCTAGTAGTAGCATGAGCGAATCGAAGTAGGCGAAGTGGAATTCGTTTCGAATATTAGGAAAATTTCGATTCGCGCGTCGAATCCGAAAATAAGCAGACTTCGGATGCGCGAATCGAAATTTTTCCTAAAATGGCGGCGACATGTGCGGCGACGGAGCGGGGATGTCTGGGAAGGCGCGCAGACAAGGCGCGCTGACCCATAATGCATTCATTCATGACATGTGATCGCATTAGCCAATCAGCAGCCAGCCAGCCAGCACAGTGTAATGGTCGAGCTATAAATGGCGGCCATTTTAGAATTCTCCATTTGCCTCCAGTCATTCAACAGAGGCAGACCTGGCTGTATGCAGGGAGAGAGTTAGGGACAGAGAAACGTTACTTACCGACACAGAAACGTTAGTTAGGGCCACAGAATCGTTACTTAGGGCCATAGAAACGTTACATAGGGCCACAGAAACGTTACTTAGGGCCACAGAATCGTTAGTTAGGGCCACAGAAATGTTACTTAGGGACACAGAATTGTTACTCAGGGACAGACAGAATTGTTACTGAGGGATACAGAATTGTTACTGAGGGCCACAGAATCGTTACTTAGGGCCACAGAAACGTTACTTAGGGCCACAGAAACGTTACTTAGGGCCACAGAATCGTTACTTAGGGCCACAGAAACGTTACTTAGGGCCACAGAAACGTTACTTAGGGCCACAGAATTGTTACTTAGGGACAGACACAGAATTGTTACTGAGGGCCACAGAATTGTTACTGAGGGCCACAGAACCGTTACTTAGGGCCACAGAACCATTACTTAGGGCCACAGAACCGTTACTTAGGGCCACAGAAACGTTACTTAGGGCTACAGAAACGTTACTTAGGGCTACAGAAACGTTACTTAGGGCCACAGAATCGTTACTTAGGGACACAGAAACGTTACTTAGGGCCACAGAAACTTTACTTAGGGCCACAGAATTGTTACTTAGGGACAGACACAGAATTGTTACTGAGGGATACAGAATTGTTACTGAGGGACACAGAACCGTTACTTAGGGCCACAGAAACGTTACTTAGGGCCACAGAAACGTTACTTAGGGCCACAGAATCTTTTTAGGGCCACAGAAAATTTACTTAGGGCCACAGAAACGTTACTTAGGGCCACAGAAACGTTACTTAGGGACACAGAATTGTTACTCAGGGACAGACACAGAATTCTTACTCAGGGACAGACACAGAATTGTTACTCAGGGACACAGAATTGTTACTGAGGGACACAGAATTGTTACTGAGGGACACAGAATTGTTACTCAGGGACACAGAATTGTTACTGAGGGACACAGAATTGTTACTGAGGGACACAGAATTGTTACTCAGGGACACAGAATTGTTACTCAGGGACAGACACAGAATTGTTACTGAGGGACACAGAATTGTTACTGAGGGCCACAGAACTGTTACTTAGGGCCACAGAAACGTTACTGAGGGACACAGAATTGTTAATCAGGGACAGACACAGAATTCTTACTCAGGGACAGACACAGAATTGTTACTCATGGACACAGAATTGTTACTGAGGGACACAGAATTGTTACTGAGGGACACAGAATTGTTACTGAGGGATACAGAATTGTTACTGAGGGACACAGAACCATTACTTAGGGCCACAGAAACGTTACTTAGGGCCACAGAAACGTTACTTAGGGCCACAGAAACGTTACTTAGGGACACAGAATTGTTACTCAGGGACAGACACAGAATTGTTACTCAGGGACAGACACAGAATTGTTACTCAGGGACACAGAATTGTTACTGAGGGACACAGAATTGTTACTGAGGGACACAGAATTGTTACTGAGGGACACAGAATTGTTACTCAGGGACAGACACAGAATTGTTACTGAGGGACACAGAATTGTTACTGAGGGACACAGAATTGTTACTCAGGGACACAGAATTGTTACTCAGGGACAGACACAGAATTGTTACTGAGGGACACAGAATTGTTACTGAGGGCCACAGAACTGTTACTTAGGGCCACAGAAACGTTACTCAGGGACACAGAATTGTTACTCAGGGACAGACACAGAATTGTTACTCAGGGACACAGAATCGTTGAATTAAAGAGTATGTCAGACAACATGCAGAGGAGTGGCAGAGGAGGCAATGTTTTAGGAGCGAGCAGACGTGGCAGCAGAGGAAGGGGTCGAGGCAGCACTATTCGCAGCCAGAGGCCAGTGCTCCCGGTGTCATCCAGTACAGTGAGGAAGAGCTAACAGAGGGCGGTCAGGAACGGGGGGAGACATCCGCCTCTTCAGCAGCCAGGCGAAGAAGTAGTGGCGAGGAGAGTGGCTCGGTAGCCGGTCTAGAGACAGGTCTGTCTCCTGACCCACACGCAGCCGAGGGGGCTAGTAGTGAGGCGGAGACCCTAATTGATGATGATGAGGCTGATCGCACTTGGCAGCCTCGTCGTCATCAGGCTATTGCTTCCGCATCATCAGGAGAAGAGGGTGGCAGCTTGGCAGCGAGCAAAACAGTCGGTGGGTTGTCTCCATCGCCACACTCTGCCATGTGCCACTTTCAGGTCTCCTCACACACTGCTGGTGTGTTCCATTTTTTGTCATAGGGTGCTGGCAGATTACGGGCCTCCCATAGCTGCTGCCAGGCCCCTAATCTGCCATGGGCCCCTATACCGCCTCCTCATGCTGCTGCCAGGTCCAGAGTCTCTCATGGGTCCCTGTACGGCCTCCCATTGCTGCTGTCTCCATCGCCACACTCTGCCATGTGCCACTTTCAGGTCCTCCTCACACACTGCTGGTGTGTTCCATTTTTTGACATAGGGTGCTGGCAGATTACGGGCCTCCCATAGCTGCTGCCAGGCCCCTAATCTGCCATGGGCCCCTATAGCGCCTCCTCATGCTGCTGCCAGGTCCAGAGTGTCTCATGCCATGTGCCACTTTCAGGTCTCCTCACACTGCTGGTGTGTTCCATTTTTTGTCATAGGGTGCTGGCAGATTACGGGCCTCCCATTGCTGCTGCCAGGCCCCTAATCTGCCATGGGCCCCTGTACCGCCTCCTCTTGCTGCTGCCAGGTCCACAGTGTCTCATGCCATGTGCCACTTTCAGGTCTCCTCACACTGCTGGTGTGTTCCATTTTTTGTCATAGGGTGCTGGCAGATTACGGTCCTCCCATTGCTGCTGCCAGGCCCGTAATCTGCCATGGGCCCCTGTACCACCTCCTCATGCTGCTGCCAGGTCCAGAGTCTCTCATGGGTCCCTGTACGGCCTCCCATTGCTGCTGTCTCCATCGCCACACTCTGCCATGTGCCACTTTCAGGTCTCCTCACACTGCTGGTGTGTTCCATTTTTTGTCATAGGGTGCTGGCAGATTACGGGCCTCCCATTGCTGCTGCCAGGCCCGTAATCTGCCATGGGCCCCTGTACCACCTCTTCATGCTGCTGCCAGGTCCAGAGTGTGTCATGGGTCCCTGTACGGCCTCCCATTGCGCTGCCAGGAGGCAGCAGGGTCGCAGCAGTGTCAGTGGAGGCAAACGGCCACGGAGTAGAGCACCAGCTCCACTGCAGCCTACCACCACGGCCAGTAGTGGTGCCGGTGTGCACGGAGGAAGTAGCAGTCAGCCAGTGAGGAGTAGCGGGGGCAAAGTTTCCTACTCGGCGGTGTGGCAATTTTTCGTCAAGCCGCCCGAGGAAGTAAACGTAGCCGTATGTCGACTATGTGGCCAGAAAGTCAAGCGTGGCCAGGGGGCCCATGGTGGGACTACAGCGTTGCGTCAGCATATGCAGCGTCGCCATTCGGTGGCCTGGGAAAACCGTGATAAAGATATGGCGGTTCTGCCTGCCCCAGCCCAGGGTTCCATTTTGTCATAGGGTGCTGGCAGATTACGGGCCTCCCATTGCTGCTGCCAGGCCTAATCTGCCATGGGCCCCTGTACCGCCTCCTCATGCTGCTGCCAGGTCCACAGTGTCTCATGGGTCCCTGAACCGCCTCCCATTGCTGCTGTCTCCATCGCCACACTCTGCCATGTGCCACTTTCAGGTCTCCTCACACACTGCTGGTGTGTTCCATTTTTTGTCATAGGGTGCTGGCAGATTACGGGCCTCCCATAGCTGCTGCCAGGCCCGTAATCTGCCATGGGCTCCAGTACCGCCTCCTCATGCTGCTGCCAGGTCCACAGTCTCTCATGGGTCCCTGTACGGCCTCCCATTGCTGCTGTCTCCATCGCCACACTCTGCCATGTGCCACTTTCAGGTCTCCTCACACTGCTGGTGTGTTCCATTTTTTGTCATAGGGTGCTGGAGATTACGGGCCTCCCATTGCTGCTGCCAGGCCCGTAATCTGCCATGGGCCCCTGTACCGCCTCCTCATGCTGCTGCCAGGTCCAGAGTCTCTCATGGGTCCCTGTACGGCCTCCCATTGCTGCTGTCTCCATCGCCACACTCTGCCATGTGCCACTTTCAGGTCTCCTCACACACTGCTGGTGTGTTCCATTTTTTGTCATAGGGTGCTGGCAGATTACGGGCCTCCCATAGCTGCTGCCAGGCCCCTAATCTGCCATGGGCCCCAGTACCGCCTCCTCATGCTGCTGCCAGGTCCACAGTCTCTCATGGGTCCCTGTACGGCCTCCCATTGCTGCTGTCTCCATCGCCACACTCTGCCATGTGCCACTTTCAGGTCTCCTCACACTGCTGGTGTGTTCCATTTTTTGTCATAGGGTGCTGGCAGATTACGGGCCTCCCATAGCTGCTGCCAGGCCCCTTATCTGCCATGGGCCCCTGTACCGCCTCCTCATGCTGCTGCCAGGTCCAGAGTCTCTCATGGGTCCCTGTACGGCCTCCCATTGCTGCTGTCTCCATCGCCACACTCTGCCATTTGCCACTTTCAGGTCTCCTCACACACTGCTGGTGTGTTCCATTTTTTGTCATAGGGTGCTGGCAGATTACGGGCCTCCCATTGCTGCTGCCAGGCCCGTAATCTGACATGGGCCCCCGTACCGACTCCTCATGCTGCTGCCAGGCCCGTAATCTGTCATGGGCCCCTGTTGTCGCTTGTTGGCATATTCCGCTCGTTCAGATGCTCCTTCTCCTGCTACTCCTCTTCACGGATTCCGTCAGCAGTCTTTCTTGGAATCCGTTTCCAAGAGACAACAGTTTGCGAGCACGCACCCGACGGTGCAGAAGCTGAACGTCCTCCTGTCCAAGTTGCTGCTGCCAGGCTCGTAATCTGTCATGCACCCCCTGTACCGCCTCCTCATGCTGCTGCCAGGTCCAGAGTGTGTCATGGGTCCCTGTACGGCCTCCCATTGCTGCTGCCAGGCCCGTAATCTGCCATGGGCCCCCGTACCAACTCCTCATGCTGCTGCCAGGCCCGTAATCTGTCATGGGCCCCCGTACCAACTCCTCATGCTGCTGCCAGGCCCGTAATCTGTCATGGGCCCCTGTACCGCCTCCTCATGCTGCTGCCAGGTCCAGAGTGTGTCATGGGTCCCTGTACGGCCTCCCATTGCTGCTGTCTCCATCGCCACACTCTGCCATGTGCCACTTTCAGGTCTCCTCACACTGCTGGTGGTTTCCATTTTTGTCATAGGGTGCTGTATGGCCTCCCATTGCTGCTGCCTCCACCGCCACACTGTGGCTCCACACTCTGGTTTTGGCCCCGTGACTGCCCAAATGAGTGAAGTGTGCGGTGATTCTAAGATCGACGGCACTCATCTGCATGTCATACTGACTGTCAGTATTATTTCTCTTCCCCAGCAGACTCCAAGGGCATTTAAATTAAAGGTACAGTGTTCTGCACTAATATAAAGGCTCTCTGAAGCCTAGAAACACCCTTTTATAAGTTAAATTCGCAGCGAATATATTCGACTCGAATCAAAATTTTTCCACGAATTCGCCGAATCAGTCGAATCGAATTTTTGAATACTTCGCTCATCTCTAGTAGCAGGTTGTGTAGGTCAGGTTTCCTTTTGCCTAGCAAAGATGTCTAGTTTTCTTAGAGATTGTAGTATGTTTACAGCTCAGCTGGAAGGTTTAGAGTTCAGAATATTTTGGTCCTTGTCCAGGGCCTCTTTCCAATTGGTAAAGCTTGCAAGAACTTTTCCCAAGGCCATCCGATAAGATGCCTAAAGCCACTTCAAGTATGATCTGTCAATATTGAAGTATCAGAGGCTTTACTGAGGCATTACTGAGGCAACTCCAGACAACCAGTCAACTTATCACAGAAGTAAGCCCAGCAATTCACAGAAGAAACCTTATCACCAAATGATACCCTTCAACCTTGCTTTGTTTTTCAGTACCCAAAGCTCCTGACCATGGTTAAACATGGAGACATAAATAGACTGCCTCATCTAAAAACTATGGACACAATTTCTTCCCACAAACATATTTCTGCAAAATTGCAGCGACAGACCAAATGGTCAGAATTCAGTAACTTTTTTAGGCCTCATACACACAAGGAGTTTTTGCAGGCACTTTTTGGGGCGTCAGGAATTTTTTTTTTACTGCTTCCAAATGCCCATCCATGTTATCCTATGTGTCCATGCACACATAGACTTTTAGAAGCTTTTAGTGGCAGGGGATTTTAGAAGCAGGGAAAAAAACCTACAGCAGCAGAGTTTGTGCAAAAAATTCACCTGAAATTCACCTACTAAAAACTGCTAAAACACACCTAAAGGCTAGGTGCTTTTAGCGCTTGAACAATATCTCATTTCAATGGTCATAATAAATGGTTTATTCTGACTAATAAAATGTATTAATGCCCAAGAGCTTGATCCCTGCAAAAGCTCCTAAAAGCTTGTAAAAGTGTTAGATGTAGTGTTTTTTCTGCAAAAATGCTGTTGGCTTCTAGGAGAGTTAAATAAATGTCATGTGCGCATGAGGCCTTATACTTGCATTCAGCCAGTAGTTCTGTTCATTGATATAATCATGCTGTGTCTAGCTAAATAAATAAATATATAGATATAGATATATATATATATATATATTTCTAATTAGTAGAGAATTTTAAGATTTTATTGCAAGGGTATAGTACAGGTTTTTGTATTGAAGCTTGGCAGTCTTGGTTTTCCTTCCTATTCTCTTTGCTAAAAGTTAAAGGGTAAATGTGTTATATCCTTTTCAGCAAGCAGTGGATAGTGGATGCCAGTCTGATAGGTTTGCTTGTTACTCCCTAAATCTGAGGGTGGGGTGTGGGAGTCAACAGCATTCTTGTGCTCTAGACTCAGGATATCTCTTCCTCATTCTTTATACAGATGGGTTTCAGTAAGTTATATTCACAAAAGCATGTTGCTTAAAGTGTATGTTACCCCAACATCTGATATTCCTGATATGTGTTTGTGGTACCATGCACGTGTATTTAAAAATATATTTTTTTCTTTGCTGTGCTTCCCTTGTATGAAATACTTGGTAAACCTACAAATCCCCCTGCTTTCCAGTTTCAAACTAACCATGCCAGGGCATGGCATCCCAGTGTGGTCAGTTTTATTCTTTGCATTCTACTTGGAGCACATCCTGCCTGTACTCCATTGGTCAGACTTGTGCTGACACCTATCCCCCCTGCACAGCTAATCACTGGGAAGATCAGTGTACTGCTGTCTCTCTGCTTCCTATTGACATGCCCCCCTTCAGTCTCCACCCTTACCTCTCCTTTATGCTGCTGAGAGAGCTCATGCGACCACAAAAAAGTATTTTTAACCTTTATATACAACCCCTGGCAAAAAGTATAGAATCACCACTCTTGGAAAATGTTCATTCAATTGTTTAATTGTGTAGAAAAAAACAATCACAGACATGTCTCAAAACTATTTTTATTTAACATTCCAAAATTCTGGCTTTAAGAAACACTTAAAAAATAAAAAAGAAAGAAAACTGTTGTCAGTTGCAACTGTTTTTGCAGATCAAGCAGAGGAAAAAAATATGAAATCACTCAATTCTGAGGAAAATATTATGGAATCACCATGTACTTTGCAGTTCTAAAACAAACATCTGCATCAGATTACATCTGCTAATTAGTCTGCAGTTAAAAAAGAGTGCTTGCACACCTTGGTGAGCTATTACACCAAGCTGATTTACATAAATCATGGCTCCAACACAAGAGATGTCAGTTGAAACAAAGGAGAGGACCATACAACTTCTTCAAGAAGGTAAATCATCACAGAACATTGCAAAAGATGTTGGTTGTTCTAAGTCAGCTGTGTCTAAAATCTGGACCAAGTACAAATCAAATGGGAAGGTTGTAAATGGGAAGCGTACTGGTAGACCAAGGAAGACATCAAAGCGTCAGGATAGGAAACGTAAAGCGGAGTTCCACTCAACCTATCAAAAAATAAAAGTCAGCAGCTACAAAAACTGTAGCTGCTGACTTTTAAAAAAAGCCACTTACCGGTCCATTGGTGTGTCCCCCGCAGCTTGTTTCTCCGGCTGTCCTGTATTCCAGGAGGCCAGCATCTTCAGTGTGGGCACCCAGCTGTGATAGCTTGTGGCTTCACAGCCGGGTGCCCACTGCGCATGCGCGAGTAACGCTGCACTTCGTGAATGGTCTTGTAGTCTTCTGGGACCTGTCACGTGTCCCAAAAGACTACAGGGAGGGAGGGAGGACACCTCCCGTTTCTGATCACTTAGGCGATAGGACCGGAAGTGGGAGTGGGTACCTGTCAAATTCGGGTACCCGCTCCCCCCCTGCTCCCCAAAGTTTCCAATCCTTAATGGGGAGTGGAGAAGTAGTACTTAAAGCGGAACTTCCCCTTTTGGGTGGAGCTCCTCTTTAAAGCAATATGCCTTGAAAACAGAAAATGCACAACAAAACAAATGAGGAACAAATGGGCAGAAATTGGAGTCAATGTCTGTGAGCGAACTGTAAAACATTGCCTAAAGGAAATGGGATTTACATACAGAAAAGCCAAACGAAAACCTTCATCAACACCTAAACAGAAAAAAACAAAGTTACAATGGGCTAAAGAAAAGCAATCATGGACTGTGGATGACTGAATGAAAGTGATATTCAGTGATGAATCATGAATCTGTATTGGGCAGGGTGATGATGCTGGAACTTTTGTTTGGTGCCATTCCAATGAAATGTATAAAGACGACTGCCTGAAGACAACATGCAAATTTCCACAATCATTGATGACAGTCATTAATCTTCAATAAACGCACAAGTTTATATTGAGATTTTGGACACTTTTCTTATTCCATCAATTGAAAGGATGTTTGGTGATGATGACAACATTTTTCAGGATGATAATGCATCTTGCCATAGGTCAAAAGCCAAAAATGTTCCTTCAAGAAAGACATTCAATGTCAATTGCATGGCTTGCAAATAATCTGGACCTCAATTCAACTGAAAATCTAGGGTGGAAAGGCCCATGACAAGGCTCCAGCCTGCAAAGCTGATATGGCAACTGCAATAAGAGAAAGTTGGAGCTGGATTGATGAAGAATACTGTTTGTCGATAGTTAAATCCATGCCTCATAGAATTCAAGCTGTTACAAAAGCCAGAGGTGGTGTACTGTAA